GTTCAACAAGAAGCAGGTAGTATCACTCTCAGACAGACTGGGTATGCTGTGAGTTTGCTGGAGAAGTTTGGACTAGTTGACTGTAAACCATGTCGGGTGCCGATGGATTCCCGAACAAAGCTGAGCAAGCGTGATGATAGTCCTCTCGTTGATGCGACCCAATACAGAAGTGCGATCGGAAGCCTGAGGTATCTTGTTCACACACGTCCTGACATTGCTTTTTCAGTCGGTGTTGTAAGCAGATACATGGAAGCTCCAACAACAAAGCATCTAGCAGCGGTGAAGCAAATTCTGAGGTATATAAAAGGAACTCTGCAACTAGGATGCAAGTATGTAAAAGAAGAAGGGGAAACAAGGCTGATAGGTTACTGTGATAGTGACTTGGCCGGAGACGTTGATGATCGAAAAAGTACATCTGGAATAATGTTCTTTCTAGGTGATAGTCTGGTGACTTGGATGTCACAAAAACAGAAGGTTGTGGCGTTATCTTCTTGTGAAGCAGAATACGTGGCCGCAACAGCAGGGGCTTGTCAAGGAATTTGGTTGGAAAGGCTCTTGTTTGAGATCAGAGGTCACTCCGTAAGAAGAACAATTCTGAAGGTGGATAACAAATCAGCAATTGCGCTTGCGAAAAATCCGGTGTTTCATAGCAGGAGCAAACATATAGAGGTGAAGTATCATTTCATTCGAGATTGCATACAGAAGGAAGAGATTGAGTTGGATTATGTGAGGACTGAAGAGCAATTGGCTGATTTATTAACTAAGCCATTGACGCGAGAACGACTGGAGCTACTACGTCATGCGATTGGGCTCAGAAATATCAGGTTAGGCGAACAAGATTAAGGGGAAGAGTGACAGAGAATAATCTTGATTCGTAGACTGAAGTAGAGGACGGAAGTTTCGGACAAGAGAGAGAAGGTTTGGTCAAAAGACCAGTTCAATAACAAGAGCAACTGATTCCAGGATTTTAGCATGATTTGAGGAAGTTTGTTTTTCTTTATCGTTGATTTGATTCTATTTAAGTTGTAGTTTTGGGAATAAAATAGATAGAGAGCTGTTTCTCGAAAACTCTCGAGTCAATTATTCAGAAACGTGTCCTTGTTCTGTTTCTCACCGAAACAGATTTTTTTTTGAGCACTTTCACTGTGAGTTTATTTTGGTTTCTACATAAGGATCTCTGATATTTTATCAAAATATATTATAGATATATTTTAGTGTATAGTTTATTAGTGAGATTTAAACTCTTTTGTCTATCTGTACGTTATTTGGTCGAATGAATACAACAACACGGTTTTATATTCAGCAAATCTTGATATTATCCTTTCTTATAATATAATATGTAATCTGTTATTATTTGTTTCCTTTTTCTTATATTATTTTCCTTTTTCATGTTTGGGTTTTTTTCAATGAGATTGAGCTAACTTTATTATCAGTTTCCTTTTTCATGTTAGATAAAAATGGAGAAAAAAAGGGAACCTGTTATAAATAATAAAAAAATACAATAATTAGAAAACAATCATATAACTATTTTATTTGAATGCCATATAACTAAAAAGGCGAAATTCCAAAAATATAGGAAAAGCCCATATAAACTATCAAAAGGCCCAACAATATATGTGGATAAAAAAAAGGCCCGTATAAATTTTGTCCGAACAGTTATTATGTTATTCATGATTTTATTCATTTTACTCTCTTAATGTATTTTTTGTTGATAACATAATTTGATTTTGTGGATTAAATTATACATAACTATAATGATTTATTCAAATTATTAAACTTCATTGCCATTCTTTTCATGATTGAAATTTGAGTATAATATAAAATAAATATTGTTGAAATAAATATATTGATATTATCTTGAGAGAATTTTTTTCCTTATTCATAATAAATCTCCTTGCCATTCGTCGGAAAAGTCGATTATTTAAGTCACTATAATTAGGTAAAAAATAAATTTTTATTATTTAGGTCGATTTGATCAATATTATGATATGCATCCATATATCATTTTGATCAATCCACCACAACTTCAATATATTCTAATAAAATCATACTAAATAAAAAAAAAGGTCTAAGAATAAAACAATAAATTGTTATATTATGTAATGGGGATATACTTTACTTACATATGATGATAAACCATCTTTGTATATATCGCATTGGATATTTCGTCTTTTTTCCATAGAATTATTTTATTATATTTGTATTTTTTTTTCTTTCCGACCCACGTCACAGGATAACATCGAACATAAAATTGTTTTATGTTATAAAATCATGAAGTCGGTGGGAATTTTATCCCTCGTGGCTTTCCAACGTGAACAGTACAAGAAACCCGAAAGCGTTGACTTGTTGTCCTTTCGACCCCACGAGTGTCGAGCGCACGTGGGCTCGTGGGTCTCTTCGACGCGCAAAATGACGATACTATGCACGTGCGGATAAAAGATCAACTTGAATGAGACGTACACGTGCGGACTTCATCCACTTGCATCGAGGCGTGCACGTGCGGAAAAATAAAAAGAAAAAGTCAACGACAAAAAGAGTCAACGACATGTCACAAAGAGACAATGAATGTGACACATCACAAATTCTGCGCCTGAAAAACGTAACGAGCCGAAAAAAAATACACACACGAAGGCTCGTACCAATTACCAAACAAAAACATCACACGAAAAATAAGGAGAACCGACACGAAGATTTACTTGTCAGGCACGAACAAGAAAAAAAAACAAATAAAAAAAAATACAAAATTAGAAGAATATATCTCCAATATCAATTCGGGGAATGATTTTTCTCAATGCCTATATAAAAAAAATACAAAGGCAGACCACACGAAAACATATCCCCCCAAAAAAAAAATCTCTCACTCGTATTCGATCAAAGAACAAGAGCCATGATCGAACGACCAATGTTCTGTCTGGTCGGGAAATTCTTCACGAGCTCATCTCCGCCGCCGTCCATAAACAAGTCCGAGGTTTCGGTTCGATGGAAACTCACCGGAAAGATGACAGTTTCTACCGTCGAGAACGACCTCATATTGTTCAACTTCGAGTTGGAAACCGACATGAAGAAAGCTCTCGGAGATTCATGGCACGTCAATGGCGTTACCTTGGTGCTGAAGGAATGGCCTTCTCATCTCTCTTTATCCGACATTGATTTCTCTTTCGCTTGGTTCTGGGTCAAGGTCGAGGGCTTGCCCTTGTCTCGTTACATCGACGAGGAAATTCGGAGAATCGGAGAAATGCTTAGCGAGAAACTGCTCGGGACATTCCACGTGGATCCCTCGAAGCGAGAGTTCTGGGTTCGGGCAGAGATCGATCTGAAGAAGCCTCTCAATCCCGGTTTCTTCATGGGCAAGAAACAAAAACGTTCCTTTGTTCAGTTCAAGTACAAGAATCTCGGAGGGTTCTGTCAAAGCTGTGGCATGATCGATCATCCATCCTGCGGGAAAACTCCAGCAGAGAGACCGTTAACCCGTAATTGTATGACTCGAGTGTACGGTCCGTGGCTGAGATGGACTCTCCCGAGCTATGTTCATGATCTGATCGTAGAGTTTCCCGAAAAGATAACCGAGAGAACGGAGGAAGAAGAAACTGTTCCATACGAGCAATTCTTCGTCAAACTCAAAGTTGAAGTTTCTTACGTGAACGAGCATAAGTGGAGAGACAAGATACTGAGCCGTTCTATTTCAGACAGCGTTAACGAGTACCGTTTCAGGTTTCCCTGCTCTTATCTCGCGACGACGTTAGAAGAGTCCACTGATCCGTCACGAGCTCTGTACATTCTGACACGTGAGATTGATGAGAACGTGCCGATAATCGGCTTGACATTCCAAGACAAGGTCAAAATCGTCGAGAGGTTCGTGGATTACTCGAAGAAGAACGTGAATTCTTGGTCGGACCGTACATGGGTTCCTGTCAGAATCTGCGTCAAGAAAACAACCAAGCTCTCGAGCGTAGATTTCCAGACGAAGATCCAAGGACAGGAGGACAAAGAATTCTGTCAGATGATCGACGAGAAGATCTCCGAGATGATCAAAAGAAGAGTCGAAAACAACGAGAATGTACTGTCACTGCCCTTGTGGGAGACACGGATCCAAGACCTGATGGCACAGATGGGAGTGGACGAGATCCCATTAGGGTTACCCTACAGAACCCTAAAGGCGAGGAGGGAAGCTATCAGCTATGGCGTCGGATTCTTCAGCGGTCCAATACCTGCGGAAGCAACGTCAGTTCAGAAGCTGGAGAGAGTGAGAGTGTCGGGACAGGACATGGATTCGCTCGAAGCATGCGCCATTTGTCAGGAAGGGATGTTTCTTGGGGACCAAGCAACGAGAATGCCATGTTCTCATCTTCTCCACACAGTTTGCATTGAAGAATGGCTCAAGAAAGGGAACCAATGTCCGTTATGTCGGTTTGAGTTGCCTTCTCAGAAACGAACTGGCTGTCCTCGGCCGTTTAACAGATACCGACGCCTGAAGAGACGCCATCTTTGATTTTTTTATTTTTATTTTTGTTTAGGTTTGGCTTTTTGTTAATAAAAAAAAAAAAGAAGCTGAGTCGTATATTTCCTTAAAGTTATATTGGAAATTGCAACCGGAAGATTAAATAAAGTTGATGATTAAATCAAAATATATGCCCGGGTTGATCAAAGCTACGTTGTTGGGCCATTGGCTCTATTTTTGAATTCCGGGCCTGTATATGTGAGATGGTTTGGGCTTATTATTATTATTATTATTAAATTTAATGGTGGGATTTGACATACTAAAATTTAGTAGATTATAATTGATAATAGACTGATTATTCTCTATTATTATTGATCCTTTTATACGGACTGACTGATGAAAAATATAGCTGTAATTAGTTTCCGTAAATGGGTTTTAGGTTTTTAATGTGAATGTCAATTGTTTTTTAATAACCATTCCATATTTTTTAGAAAAAAAAAATTATACGAGAAAAGGAAGAGATATAAAATGGAGATTTTTTCATATCCGCTGGATTCTCGGGAAAATCCTAAAAAATTTAGCCAAAAACGCGTTCGGACAAACAGCAGAACAAAAAAGTCGTCGTCGTCGCTAGTTACAAGATCTTTCTCTCTCGCCATTCTCGCAGGTAAAATCCTTTTCGAACTTTCCCCAGATCTGGGCATATTTCCCCTTAGATTTTCTTGTTCATTGTGTTTCTGGGGAAAGTTCTTCGATCTGTACTACTTTTCCCCCTCGCGATACGTAGATTCCGAGGCTAATGGTCTGAATTGAGGGGTTTTTTTTTAAATTGTTGGACGAATGTTCAGGTTTTTGTCCCGTTACTTGGAATTTTCGCGAAGAACGCGTTTTGGAAGGCCGATTATTAGATAAGAATGAGCGATCATTTGGTGGTGTTCGTGGATCGGATGGTAAGGCCGGTGCCGGCGAATCCGGTGCGGGCGGAGACGGAAAGTCCCAACGCCGCCGGGCCGTCGAGCTCGACCTCGCCGGATAAGGCGATCGACGAAGGAGGGGAAGAGGAGCCTCTGATTCAATCGGCGGAGTGCCGTATTTGCCAGGAGGAGGACTCTGTCAAGAATCTCGAGAGCCCCTGTGCCTGTAGTGGAAGCCTCAAGGTATACATACATATATATATATATATGTGTATATGTATATATTCGAATAAAGCCATAGACTCAAATCTTATGGCTTTTAACATGTCGATGGTCCATTGCCTGAATCCTCTGCTGCATGTAGATGATTATTGCACTCCAAGAGCTTGTCATGATTGTAGATAATCACTGCAAAAATGTACTATCTTGCATACACACACACACACATACATATATATATATATATGCACCATGTCATCATCGTCGAGCTTAATGTTATTTTGGCACAGTTTGCCCACAGGGAATGTGTTCAGCATTGGTGCAATGAGAAAGGAGACATCATCTGTGAGATTTGCCATCAGGTAAACAACTACTTAACCATGTGGCATAAACAACTCTGTAGGAGTAGTAGTCTCTTTGACCTTGTTCCTTTGCCTTTGGAGTTCCTAACTAGAGCTTTTGTTAAGTAGCTACTAACCTGTTTTTTTTCCCCCGGGTTTCACCTTTATCATCTTGTACATAGCCTTACCAGCCTGGTTATACGGCTCCACCTCCTCGTCCTCAGCCTGAAGAAACCACCATTGATATTGGGTTGAGTAAAAAACGTTTCCCGTTTCGTCTCTTTTACAAGCCCTATCTCTCTGCTGAGGAGAGCTTGTTGCTGATATGTGTTTCCTTTTGGTTGTAGCAGAGGCTGGACGATATCGGGTACTCCTGTGGATGTAAATGATCCACGTCTCTTGGCCATCGCAGAAGCAGAACGGCGGTTTTGGGAAGCTGACTATGACGATTACGCTGCCTCAAATGCGAGTGGAGCTGCGTTTTGTCGCTCGGCTGCTCTCATTGTAAGCCCTCTCCCCACCCCCTGCATGAATTTATATTCTGAAGCTACATTAGTTAGCTATTGCAGATATAGTATGTGATAATAGAACCAGAATTATACAAAAAATGGCTTGGGCATTGATGCTATATGTCACTTACCATTGAACCACTGGTCCACCGCGATATGTTTGATTTTTTCCTCGTATGTGCTTGTTGTTTGAATTGGCTTTGATCTCAAGACTTGTCCTTTTTGTAGTTGATGGCTCTTTTGCTGTTGCGGCATGCTATGACAGTTACAGATGGTGGAGATGAAGAAGATGACCTATCCACATTTTTCTCTGTAAGTTGAAAAACCTAAGTTTGCAATGACAGGTCCCGATACGGACAAAGTGAGTCTCCTGTCTACGCGCTGTATTTACGTTGCAAATATTCTTTTACAGCTTTTCCTCCTCCGAGCTGCTGGGTTCCTGCTCCCGTGCTACATCATGGCATGGGCTATAAGTATCCTGCAACGACGTAGACAGAGACAGGTAAAAACACGAATCTCTTACTTGAGAAGCAGAGGCAGGATTTTGCGCATTTTGAATAATATCCCGATTATCTTTACGCCCGCTCACTTTCGTCTTTGATCTTTGCTGGACTATTAAACACAGGAAGCCACAGCATTGGCTAGGCGAGTTGCATATGTGTTGCAATCTGGACAGCGTAATAGGGGCGTTCATTTCACAATAGCCACAGGTCCGGCTCCTGCCATGTCCGAACATCAGGAGACTGTTTGATCTCTGTCTGTTTCCGGCAAAAAAAAAAAGCATCTCTCCGACCACCATTATCATTTATCACCCTTTGTAGAGTGGACAGGTGGGGTCCAAGCCTGTGGATGAGTAACTGTTAATAAAGTTTACATCTCCGTGTGTAATGAATGTGTCTCTACCTGAAATTGTTTCAAAAAAGAAAATGTTGATCACAGAATGTAGACTCCGTTTTTCCTATTACAAACATAACCCATACTAAAATTAAATAACTTGAACTGTAGTAGTTTTTAGATCAAAGTAGTAACGAGCTCATAAAAATGCACATAAACACTACTGATACAAGATAGTGGATGATGTATCTTCACACAGATTTCCATGCAAAAAGCATATGGTGTTAGTGGCTTAATCTATATTAGAGCTGTTGTCATCAGCCATAATTGTCTGAATGAATCTGTGTATTAGAGCTTTATCCAAAGGAAATATCATCATTTAGATTCAATTCCAATTAGAACCCAAGGTTTGCTTTTAGGCCTCTTTTGGACCCTTTCTCATGGTGGCTGCTTCACTCAGGCCACATCAGAGATCTCATCGGGAATAAGAATATTACACTTTAAAATTCAAAAGAAAAACGGAACTTAAACATTCTCCTCTACAGATCAACCTTCAAGATTTCATGATTATATTTAACACAAAAGAGTTTCAAATATGTGTTTGGGTTTTAAAGTAAAGGAAAGGCTGCACCTTTAGGACTAACCTCGAGAATGCAGAAAAGAAAAGGAAGCTCGAATCAGCAAATGGGTGTTCTGTTTTTGGACCAAAGACCGGTCTTCCTCTTTGTTTTTGAGCCAGCAATCACTATCCAATCTCCTCCAGTCCTCCTACTTGGAATAAACAATTTATTTTTAAAACCAGAGAGAGAGAGAACCTGATGCTTCCGAATGTTCCAAGTTGCATGTGATAAACAATTGTTAAACAAAAAAGAAGTTGCAACAAAAAAAAAAGAAAAATTGAAATGACAACAGTAAAGAAAAGGGAAGAGAGATAAAGAAAAAGATTGCCCGAATGAATAATCGAGAAAAGGAAAAGAAAAAGAACAAGGGAATTACCAGGCAAACAGGGGAAAACTTGAAGTGGGTCTTCCAAAGAATCATTCCATGGAGGATCAAGAGCTCTGCGTTAATCATAACCTACAGATGCAAGATTAGTATAAATCACCAAAACGCAATGACAGTTACAAATATTTCCGGATAGATGTTACATAGTTTAGATCGGGTTTACAACTCTTCAATGACTTAGTGTATTGGGACCGGATTATGTGAAACACATCAAAGCATGGAGATTATAATTAAAACCCAAGTATATTTGTAATTCCTTACTTAAAGTGCAAACCAACATACGGCAAAACCTAGAAGTAGTACACACACGATTATGTCGAATTTCGTATACTTGCATTGTTATATTGCCTAAAAAAAGGTAAACTAAGAAACCGGATTTGGTTGCTTAAAAAAGCGAGCTCGGTGTTCAAAAGTGAGGGAGAAGATCTTAGAATAATATAAAGAATGATTCTAAAAGAAAATTAATGTATTTGTTTCTTTTGTGAAAGGACTGCTCTGTTGTACCTCCTTTAGTTCCCAAAGTTCGATGCTTTATATGAGTAGCTTGTTGCTGTAGTAATAGAATAGTACCAACGATTTATGTGTCCCTGCGATTTAAAAAAACAAAACGAAACCACTTTCCTTAATAACAAAGGAATTTTGGGATAACAAGAATTCACAGTCATAAAAGAACATAAACTTGGATAGTTAGTAGAACCCATTGTTCCCAAAAGCTAAAGGTAATGTATACCTCAAAGTACAAAACTGTGGAACCAACATTCCTTTGTCCCTGAAAACAAAACGATGATTCATCTAGTTGTTCCGTGAAGACATGCTGTTTTTTACACCGTTCCATTTGAATATATTTATCAGACCTATCGAAATGAGACGGAGCAAGTAAAACTACCAGTAACAAAGCAGAAATGCCTTACTCATAATGAAGGCCCTAGATAAGGCAAGCAGTCTGCAAATGATTACAAAACACTTTACATGGAATGTTCACCGCAAAGAGTAAATTGTTCAAGAGAATGTAACCGGCGTAATATGTCGCCTTCAATGACGTGGCAAGTAGGGCATACTTGTAGAGATGTAGGGAA